GGAACAGGGTGTAACATCTCTAGGGTTACATCTAACGATTATTTCGAAAATCAATTAATCTGTCAATTATATCTTCGATTAATAATTGGATAGCTAGAGATTCCTTAAAGGTGACTTTTAATTAAATTAAACCAGGTTAAACTCAAATTTTCAGGAGTTCTGGATAGAGCATGTTGACAGACAAAGCTTTTTTTTGTAAACCATAAATGCAAGAGTTTATATATTTCAACAATCCTAGCGCTTTGTCGGCGAAAGGCATGTTTTACAGTCTCTAAACTCCAGTTAACGATTAATCAGTTACTAAAATAGTTGACGATTAATTCAATAATCAATTTATCTAGATTATTTTGATTAATTGTTTCAGCCCTAAACATCTCCAATAAAAATATTTTCTGACACTCCCATTTTCTATTTCTATTTAGACCTGGAAAATCTCAATTATATTCCATACTGTTCCACACATATCAAGAAAGTGTAGGAACTCTCTTAAAGTGGGATAGTTTATTGCAAAGGTGGAAAGGGAGATTTTTCATAACAAATGTTTGAAGCTACACAAAAATCATCGAGTTATAGAGTGATACTAATGAAGTACATCAGCTCTGCACACAATCCACATTCTTGCTTCAAATACAGATCATAAAAGTGATCTATTTGGATTCCTAGTAGCCTCAGAAATTGCATACCAGAACAGTTTGTACAAAAACCCTCCCCTTGTCGAATTGCTTTAACTTGACACTTTGCTAGTTTATCATCTTCATTTTTCCTAAGTTTTGGCCAGGAGAGGCCTGGTTCTCTGACCGTTCCCATGGCGACGTGCCTACCAACACCAGGCATGTGCAAACAGAGCAGCCTGAGCGAACACTTTGGACTGTGCCTCCCTAACTGTCTCCGAGCATCCAGGAGCCTGTTAGCTGCCTACTGATAAAAAAAAAAAGAAAAGGATGCCACTCAAACAGTGTCGGAGCAAATAATGGGAGCACTGACTGAGCTCTATTTGAGTTGGCACTAGTCCATCCTCCCATTCCCCCCAAAAAATATCTCTGGAGCAAAGGATGGGGGAAAGCAGGGAGAAAACCCGTGAGATCAGCCCTGCTCATCCCCAGGAGACACAGCAAAACATCAAGACAAACCATGAAATCTTCTGAACAACACCCACGGAAAAAAACTCTGGCTTCCCACGGTGATTTACTGTAAAACACCAAGTAAACACGCCGGCTAACAATGGGGCCAGCAGAGATTGAGACTGGCACAGGTAAATCAACCAATCAGCGCCCCAGGAAAAAAGTGTCTGAATGACTTGAGAAAAGCTAACAGTAGCCCCTTGTCGGCTAATATAGCAGTGTGAAACATTCCCCAACAGAAGCAACCATTCTCCTTTTCTGAGGCTTATTGATCGGCCTCATGAAATGGGATAGAAATGGAGTTACACGGAAAACTGAATGGGGTGGATTATCCCACAAGGTAACAGATTGGCTGTGTTTGGGAAAAAGTTGGATGGTGTTTTGGAAATCTGTAAAGATTAAGAGGTTTATTCCAGATCTTGACCCATAATTGGCAACAGCTTTATAGACATGAATTAAGTCAAATTCAATAGTGTTAAACCTTTCCCCAAAAAACTCCCTTTATGAAGGCAATAAACTAGATGCAAAGATGACCAAGTTTAAAACCAACCTTAAAAAAAGGCAAAATTTCACCTCTAGTCTGCATGAACTGCATAGTTAACCTGCAGCGTGGATGCGCAGCGCATTCCAGACAGGAATTTCTGTACATTGGCCTGCATCCAGAATCAGCGTCTGTTTAGACAAAGATTCCCTCTCTGCTTCCCAGAATCTGTTAGCCACAAGAACGCAGCAGTAGATGTGGGAAGAGGCCACAACAGTGAGAGGGTAAATCCAAAGAGGCTATGATGTGGAATATATGTACAGCTGACTGTGAGGGTCGAGCAGGAACAGCCAACAGCTGCTTCTTATATCAGACTGTCTGGTCTTCTCCTTCATCATCCTCGCTCTGCTTCGACTGGTGCTGCTTTAAAGGCTGAGATCATGTCATCAATGCTATGATATACCCGTGTTCAAAGATGCAGTGACTTTTAGGCAGCTGCCAGAGTTTATTGAAGAATAGGAGGAAACAAATTAAGTTCATAGACTCCACTTTCATTTGAAGTCAATGTCCGCTGTCACAGCTTGTACATGACAGTTATGCAAGAAGCCACTCTGCAAAAGTGTGTTTACAGTCACATTAATGAGTCAGAGACTGAGCAAGAGTCAGCCCCACCACAGAGCTCCACTTTACCCGTCCGTCTCCCAGCTGGTAACTCCAACTTAAGATGTGTAAAAAACCTAAATATAAATTGAAGCACAACAGCAGACTAAAAGGTTTTCAGAATAACAAAGTCACACACTAAATATTTAACACCTATTAGTACCACTACATTAGTACCACTACTTTAATAGTCATTTTCTTTTTAGAACTATCATATACTACAACAGTTGGACTTCTACAGCATTAAGAAAGTTTGGCACATGCAAAAAGAGATACAATCTCCCTGTCTCTGTGTCATGCAAACCATTTATGATTTGTCTTTATTGTGAGTCATCGTTCTGCTGAAAGATAAAATGACCCATTTTATTTAATTTCTTTTTTGTTGGGAGGTCCCAAAGGGTTATTTTGCCCTGCGATAGACTGGCAAAATATCCAAGATGTACCCGCATTTCCTCTGTAGACTCCCGGAGATAGTCACCAACCCCACACTGACACTAACGGATGAGCAGGAGATAGATGGATCTATTCAAGTCAAATTGCTTTACACATAGATTCTCTACTACACCCAACAGTAGGCATTAGACATTTTATTAACAGCCAATAGAAGTATTTGATGGGCTGATAGGGCTTCAAGGCTGTTTTCGGGCATGCCTCCAAAACAACCAGTTAGTATGTAAACAGCCAGGTTTGCTAACTCCTATTCCCAAAACTGGTGTACTGTATGTTCTAGATGCCTCTCTGGTCAAATACATCTACATAAATGAATGGTTAATTAGCAGGCTCCTGCAGAACTGTAGGCCATGCTAGAGAAATAGGACAGCCATATGAATCCTGCAGGGTCTTGGCCCCTCTGGAATGAAAATCGACACAGCTGGTCTAATGGTTGTTGTGGAGACTTGGTCATCCCAAGATCATTGGTGTAGTTCCCTAACCAATAATCTTTGGAGATTTTCTAACCTATCTTACTGTCCTCCACCCTATGTGTTGTGGTCAGGTAAATATGGTCCCTTGTCCATTCTTGTTTGTCACATTTCTAGGTGTTTTAATCTTTTTAATTATTGCTCTGGTTGTATAAATAAACAAGTTGAAGCGATTTTCTTTAAGCCTTTCCAATGTGGTGTTTTGCTGCCTTTCAAATTTTGAAAAGATGCTTAAATAAGCATGTTTATAGTCCAGAAAGTCAATGACTAGTTCAGCTCCTTTACGCTTTAATGAAATTGAAAGGGAAAAGTTTGAATTACAAACATTTACATTTATCATAAATTAATTGTTAAAGAGGCTAATAAGAATAGAATCCTCGATTTTAAAAGAGCAAATTTTTGACCAAAGTTTTTCCCCTTCATGGATAAATGTACTCGTATTACAAAGGTAGAAATTTGAAAGAATAAATCAAATACAATTCAAAGTAAGGTTATGCACTCAATAAACACAACGCCTGGAGAATCAATCAGTGCGCTCCTGTGTAATATTAAATTACTGAGTTTCTGTAAATTTAAAAAGGGATTGGAAATTAGTAATGGAAATTAGTTATGGTTAATATTTAAGGACCAATTGTGTTCTTTCTCAGGTTGGCATCATCAGGTATTTATTGTCACATCCAAAAATCCACAGTGGACAAGTTTAGAAAAAGGTGAAAGCAACTTCCACACATAAACTCCAGTGGTGTTCTCGTACTTCACTTCTGTGGATGATCAGTTTTGAGTTATTAATTGGCATTATGTCTGCATAAGGTTTTAAATGTAGTTTGTTACTGAAAAACCCGAGTGTTTCAATGGTGTTTTATTTGGCATCTGACACCTATGAAAGAAGTTCCTAAAAACCTTTCAGCTCATCATCAACGCCTCTTCAAACAGCTACAAGGATCATAACAAGGTGCTTTATGGGACAGGAGAAAAACTTTTACAAGAAGCTTCATACCATAAAAGAGGTGTAAAGAAATTTTACTATAGAAAAACAAAGGTGCTGTTGGTCAACAGATTCACCTACAACAAAAGAATAGAAATAGAGCTGGTATCATCCCAGGGAAAATGGGAAAAACTAGTGTAGAGACGCATTCTGTTAAGTAAAAAAAGGTCTTTAAAAAAACTTGGATTTATTCATTGCACATATGTGGCTAGTTTAGACATCCGTCATCGAGGAGAGGTTGCAGATGTCCACAGCCAAGTCCGATTTCATGCACTACACTAATCAGATCTTTATGAAAAAATAGAAAAGAACTTAAAAAGAAGTTTGTAGTCTATAGCAAAGGCAAGAGGAGAGCATGTGAAAGAAACTTATTTGATCAAATGAGACCAAAATTCCTTTTGTTTTTTCCACCTAAATGCAAAATGCTGTGTGTGCCACAAGAATAACAGTGATGACTGCAAAAGGCTGCAAAAGGCTTGACACTCATGGAGTTTTCCAGTGCAGCTGTTTCAACCTGTCAATGTTCAAAGGGGGTTTGAATACTTTTGTAAAGCAGTGATGAGTCCAGTAGGATGATGGTAAATGGAACCCGAAAAAAAAATCAATTTCCTTGCAAAACTTCACTTCAGGCTGCTCCTATTTGACCCAGGGTAATTCAAAACACATACGCAACTCAAGACTATCAAAATATTGAATGAATCATACAGTGTTGGTGTTTTCCAATTTCTCTCATAGAAGATCTCAATTTTGGCATAAAAATGTCAAGTCAAAGGACAGCTTCAGAAACAGAGAGATTCTTGTCTCACATTCAACGTTTTGTAACTTCCCCTAATTAGATCCAGTTAAGATTGTTTTTCCTTGCAAAGACTCTAGTTTAGCACAGAAAGTAAAGAAGAGATCCAAACACTCTTACCCAAGTGACTTTGAAAAAACAAGGCAGCATTAAAAACCATAAAAGGATTAACTCAGAAAACATGTTTTGCTTATAATTTATTACTAAAGAAGAACTCAGAGTTTTATTCTGCTCTTTTTCCTAGGATTTGGGAATTTTGCCAGATTACTCAGCAGTAGCCTGTTGACACAGAACTGGTGTGTTACAAATCTAGACAAGTCGTTCAGCATTATTATGTGCTCAAATGGAAAACAGGGCACTGGGTTAGAAGTGTGCAGCAGAGTAAAGAAACAGCTCACTCTGCCTTTATCTGAGGCTAATATCCCTACTTGAGACAAAGGGAGAGGGACTTGGCCTAGCACCTACCTGGAAAATGTATTCCTAGCATAATGCATGATGCTATCAAAGTCATAGACTTCTCCCAAAGAGTCCACCTCCCCTGGCTCCATCTTTAAAAAGTTATACTCCTGTCCTGAGGGAAGAAAAAATAAAGAGGAATATTGAAATGAGTTAGAAAACCAAGTGAGAATGTGAGTCAGAATGCGTGTCAAAGGTGCGTTTCCTTTTACATGCAGCAAAATATATCTAAAAATGTATGTAAAATTTGTGCATGTCCCTACATGTGTTTTTTTTCCTCCCTTTTTGGAACCTTATTCACCCTCTCCAGCAAGATGAATCAAGAGATTATTTCTTTGTATGAATGTTTATGGCTGTTGGGCATTGCTAGTACGAGGTCCTTGCTACTGTACCTGGCTGGATGTTGTCCCTGATGATGCTGACGTGCTCGTCTCTATCAGGCCGTGTGTGTTCGTGCCAGAAGCCGATCACATGTCCCAGCTCGTGCACCACGATGCCAAATTTGTCACAGTTTTTACCGATGGATATAGCCTGGGGGCCTCCTCCTCGGCGTCCCACGTATGAACAGCATCTATGAATCACCACATACAAACACAAGTCGAGACAGACATTAAAATACCAGAATCTATGCTTCAGGGATGAAATGATTACTAACAAGCGGAATGTATACCAACAAAAAACAAAACCAAAAGGAATGTCTCAAACAGCTCAGACTTTCATTACTTTGGTTCATAAATTTGAAAAAGAATCTCTATACTTTGCTTCTGAACAGGCATGGGCAACCTGGGATAATGATTTGAGGTAAAGCTGCATCAGTTTGACAGCATCAAGATGTTTTACAGAATCAGTGCTCTTATTTAAAATATTTTATTTTAAAACACAAAATCAAAAAATTATCCATACTGCGGTTGATATCTTATCTAGGGTTGCAGCCAATGACTATTTTTCTAATCGATTAATCAGTCGATACAAACCAAGTGAAGCTAAAAATGTTCCCTTTATGGACTTCTGCACTTCTTTGAGTGGGTTGCAGCCAATTAATGATTCATCGATTACTAAAGTACATATTGATTATTTCAATAATCAATTTATCACAATAAATATAACCGTTTCAGCCTTAATCTTATTGTTTACTGCATTTACAATGGAATGTATATATATAAATCCACTGCTTTTGCACATAGAGATTACTTTGATCCCATTTTTAACCCAATTTATTGTTATATGTGTATTCTTTTCAGCTATGACAGCTTTAGCTCCCCAGGTAAAGCTGTTTACATTATTTCTGAAATCCATTTTTCTGATTAGATACTGAGGTTGGACATGATAGCCTGGCTAAGTCTTCATTTGAATTCATCCCATAGATGTTTTATTGAGGTCAGGACTCAAACTAGACAAGTTCCTAAACACCAAACAAGTTAATTTATTTGTGCACTGATGTGCAGCACTGTTGTGGCAGACAACAGACAAGTTAATTTGTATAGCACAATTCAGTATGAAAACAATTTAAAGTGCATGAATACATGCACAATAAAATTGAAGAAAAGTAAAAGCAGAATGAAAGGAAGTAGGGATAAAAACACGATAAAAGCAAGTACTGAAATCCAGCAGAAGACCAACAAATTTAAGTGCAGTCATCTTCCACACATTTCCAAACATGTCTTGGTGAACTAATATTGAGTAGATCTAAGAGGCAAAGCCCAACTCTTAAAAAATACAGTCCCACACCATAATCCTGTCTAAAGCCGGGCATTCACTGTACGATTTGTTCCCCATTTCGGGCCGACTTTCCAGTCGTGCGAGAATTTATCGATCGGGTCGACTTGCAGCCTGATCGTATGTCGTGTAGAGTACAGGAGGTAACGAGAGGCGATCAGCCTCTCAAGATCACCTCCTGGTAAAGTTTGATTGACCGTCGTGGGCATATTGCTCAGTGGTTATGCGCAAACAAGGACTCTTCTTCTTCCTCTCAGATGAAAACACAAAAGCATTGCGGGGATGCGAGTGAAATGGAGCTCTCCCTGTAAAATTGACAGACCGTAGTAGCCACGTTCGCTCAGCCATTTCTTTTCCCAAATACGTTGTCGCCTTTTCTTTTTAGCCCTTTCAGCACACAAAATTGCACAAATTACCAAGTTAGCACATTTCACACTAGTGAGCTTCATATTCCTCTTCTACTCGTTTTGCTTCCAGATAGACGAGTCCGAGTAGCACCATCTCCCTGCGAAGCTGAGCCCGACATGGTTTTTAGACATACAGTGTGAGCAGGTAGATCGCATCAGAGCGTCGGGCTGCACACTATGAGAACATGCATTGTGAGCTGCGAACTCAAACTGTACGACGAACCCACAGGTTTCGTCGTACAGTGTGGGTTTTTGTCAGTGTGGGTTTTTGTCTAGAAAAGACAAAAATTATACAAAGATATGAGCTGATGATGGTTGTCTTCCTCTAGTGGTCTGGAGCAACTCCAGCTTTTCTGAACATGCAGTAATTTTTTATACTTTTAAAATTGTTCATTGCATATATTTTCTGTGCTGGCATCATTTATGTGCTTGCAGTGTGTTTATGTGATTGCAGCGCATTTGCACTACACTTCTCTATTGTTTTGTCAAGGCAGCGTTTATCTTTTTCTGCGTTATTTCTACGCATGTGTGCTGTGTGTTAGTCTCAATTTAGTGTTGGCTAGTCTGTCATTGCAGCGTGTTGGCACCCCTTGGCCACATGTGCAAGGCTTGGATTGAATTGCTTGGTCATGGAAACTTCATGCAAGAAGCTCTCCACACGTTTTTTTTAGGCTAATCTCAGGGTAGCAAGAAGTTTGGGCGTCAGGAACGCTTGAGTCACCAAAAAGTTGCCTTTCTCTGCGAAACACTACAGATGCCAGCATCAGCAGGCCCTGTGACTTTCTTTGGCTCTCTGCTTAATAGCTGTTTGTCGTTGTTACACTTTTTCATAAAACCACTAACAGCTGGCTGTGGAATATTTTACTAGAAAGAAAATTCCAGGACTAATCTTACCGTACAGATGGCATCCTATCATGGTGGAGAGGAGGAAGTCACTGAGCTGCTGAGAGCTACCCATTTTTCACCACTGAGCTCATTAGACAATCCTCTTCACTGTATTTGTAAAACTAGTGTTAAAATGTATTTTTATTCGTTGGCTTTTAGCACAACATGAGACTCTCTATTGTGTTTGTGGTTTATTTTATAATTTTCTTTGTGTGAGGTTTTATGTGTTTTAAGTCATTTATTTCCTTCTCTTACTCTTTTAAACTTCCATGATGTTTTATACAAATTTAAATTTCTCTGGTATGTACAGCACTTTGTGGTAGCTGTGGTTGTTTTGAAGGACTCTATAAATAAATGCGAGCTGAGCTGAGATGTTTGCTAAAGGAGTCTGCATGCCTAGGTGCTGGAGTTTAAACACCTATGGTGATCGAGGAAGTTCATGAATTAAAAATTTTGGATGCTTAGAAATATTTTCTTGAAATATAGTACGTCCTCCTAACCAGATATTAAAAACAACTACGAATGGGATTAATTAAAAAGCAGCAAAAGTCATAGGACAACCTTTAAAACACCTTCAGAAAGTTGAAAGATTATTGTTCAGGTCATTTAAAAAGATTAGAGGCAGTCTAGAAGCTCAGAAGTAAAGTATGCGGAAATTAAGGTCGACTCAAGACCTTAATTAATAAATCCAATGAAAGCCGGATAGGGACATATGAATCACCATAAACCTCTGGTAATTTATTTGCGTTAAAAAAAGAAGAAATCTAAGAGTGTGTCCAGAACCTCACTGCCTGCAGCACTCCACCACATCGTGACATGAAAGGTTCACTGTGGGAGTCTGCAGGACGGGCACACATATAATGGCTCAGTGGGCCAGACAACCGCTCTCTAATTACTGCAAGCCAGCCAGGCCTCTCTTGAGACACGCCTTGAACTTTGCACAGGACAGATGGGGGCCTGCTGAATATGCAGCAGAGTCAAGCTTTCCCACTGCTAACCTCTGCTGCCTGCGGATAATGTCATCCTTGTTGGTTAAAAAGCTATTGGTAGCAGGCTGGAAATGGCAAATCGTAGTCAGTTGGTAAAGTTCAGCTTTATGAGCGTCATTTGCTCTTAGGTGAACTGCCAGTTTTGAATGCAAAATAAATCCAACAAAAGAAGTGAATAAGGTAACACGTTAAGGGCTTGAAGTCTTTAAAAATGTCTCAAACATCTCAGCACCTTTTTTCTCAAAATATAGTTTAAATCAGAGCATACAATAAAAAAAAAATGATTATCAGGAAACAAAAGAAAAAGAGAAAAAAAAAAACGTTAGCCTAAACAGATCATCGGCAGTTGCATAGCAACAAAACAATCAGCCTTTTCCATGATAATCCCATTAAAAAAAAAAAAAAAAAAAGGAAAAGAAAAAGAATCACTGACAGGACGGGTCCTCCTTGGCTTTCCTGAATCCCATGAGTCACACAGATGCTCAGCAAGTCATGAAGTTTAGTGAATAGGCACAGGAAATTCCTGCTCACTGAAAGGCGTTAAGTCACTTTCAGAGCTGTTTAGGGGGTGACCTGTACCTCCCTGACTGCAGAGTCTGCAAACTGGGAGGACGAAAAACACAGCTAAGCTGCAAACAAGGAGTCCTTACATACAAAAATAATTAGCTGTGGACACTGAATGCATAGAGTGTGAGAATTGTTCTGGGTCTAACAAGCAAGCGGAAAGGCCCAGTGACTCACCCGCATGGCCGATAGGTGAAGACAATATAGCTCTCCTCCTGGGTCCTTTCTATAAAGGTCACACAGGTGTGCTTCTCCCAGTGCCGCATAGCTTGGCGGAAAATAGCCCGCTGGCTGCCTGAAAAGGATGACAGAGAGGATGAGAAAAGACAGTTAAATCAATAAAGACCAAAAAGGATAAAGCTTTGCAATTGCAAAGATCCACAGCCCCCCTTTTTCTAATGTAAAGTAGCTGGAGACCCACAGGTTTTATGCTTTGGTTTGGTTCCAAAACATAGAGAACAGAACTTTCAGCTGATAACAGGAAGTCAAATTGAGAACAATGTTTTGTCGTTTTAAGTTTTCAGTCCTTGTCCATTTTTAAACATGCTACTGGATTTGGGCTGGTTTGCCAGCTTTTAGAAACAACCAAATGTGATTGTTTGCTGTTTTGTGAGATGCACTAGCCTTGCTAACGGGTTCCACATGGGAAATCTGATTACAGCAACTAAATCTTTCACACAGAACAATGTTGTTTCTGTTCCTAATTTTCAAATCCTTAAAGCTAAAATTATAGACTGACAAAATCTTATAAAATTCCTAGATATGAACTGGATAATATTGATTTTAGCACATCACAGTTTTACACAATCATCGGTTTAATAACCATAATGTTCAGCCTATCAGCAAATATGTTTAACACTGTTTTAATAATGATACTGGCAAACATTAGCAAAGAAATATCAATAAAACATGATTTTATTTAGTTAATTTACTTTTATAATATTACCAAAGACCACTTTAAGCAAGGCAAAATAAAATAAGATTCTGTCTTTTGAAGATATTAAGTTGATATATAGTCAATGAACAAATATTTCTCTGCTGGAATATCGCCAACATAATAATAAAAAAATAAATAAAAAAAGCTTTTAATCTGTATTACAACTGCCTTTACATCAGCTGGTGCCTTTTGATTATACCAGTAAACACGGGGTCAGCTGTTGTTACCTACCACTGAAATTGCCACTGATGACATAAGGGATGACCCCTTCAGGCCAGACGCGCTCAGGCCTGGACGTGGCAGCCCTTCTCCTGCGCTGAGCGCCATGTCTGGTTGGATCTGCGCCACCGGCTGAATCTGGGATTTTAAGCAAAACAACACCACAGAAATCAATTAATTTCACAAGAACAAAAAAAAAACAATGTTTTCCTATAAAGACAATAGATGCTAGAAGGTTAAATAAGCAATTAGTCAAAAGGGAGAGTTTTTACAGAATTCTGCCTTTCAGGCTCTTTAATAAGGTTTCATAAAAAAGACTTAATGAGAAAGGCATTTTTTTAAACGGCATTGTTCTTCTTTTTTCATCTACCCTGAAGAAAAGACACTTCTGGCAAATTAATTTCACCATTTTAATGTCACTCAACCGGATATAATTGTTACTATGGAGACCAATTCCCAACCCTAAGACTAAAGCTGAAGAAAAGAAACATCCATATGTGAATAAACTATGGGCGTGAAAGTCAATGACTGTCAAATTTATAGAGTGGTACATCTGAGCACCTGAAATAAACTACTAATTTAAAGCAGTTGGTGTGTGAAAGAAAACGATTGACTTTGACGTTAAACTTTGATTCTGAGTATATGTCAGAATGCTTTTGGCTACAAGAAGGCTACTTTAGAGGGTTTATTATAAGGAGTAACATAAAAGATCTATTTTAAGTTTTTCATGGAGGGAGTGGTATTTTGTCATTCTCAAAATATCTACAAACAGGGTATCCAACATCAAACCTAATTCCAAAAACAAAGATATGAAATATCTTCCACTAACAAACAAATGCAAATCCTGAAACGTTGTTTATATCTTTTTGAAAATAAGCACAATTATGAGCCTGTAATTGTAAATTACAAATGCTAAAAAATATCTTAATGCTGCAGAATGTGATACTAAGGGCTGCAAATAACGATTATTTTGCAAATCAATTAATCTTTCAATTGTTTTTTTTTACTAATAATTGAATAGGCAAAGGTTCCTTAAAGAGGATGTTTTACAAAATGAAACCAGGTGAAACTAAAACTTCACCACTTGAGGAGTTCTGGATAGAGCATACTGACAGACGAAAAGTTTTTGTTTTTTTTAATCTGAAATGCAAAATGTTTACTTTTTTCAGTTTTGCCATAATTACTGCTCTAAGTGGGTTGCTCTGTCAGCTAAAGAGATATTTTAGAGTCTCTGCTCCCCAAGGGGATGGGTTAAACGCAGCGAGTGAATTTCCCCTTTGTGGGAAAATAAAGGGATTTACATAATGATTAACCAATTACTAAATTAGTTGATGAATATTTTAATAATTGATTAATCATGATTAATCCGATTAATCGTTTCAGCCCTAGTTACTATATTTTCATTTCTAGAAAATAAGAGAAATTGGGAAAATCCTATATAATATCCATTCCATTTTACAGCTTTGTACTACTTTACGTTTATCAGCCACATAAAATGCCAAACTACTAGATTGTGGATGTGGTTATAACATCAAACAATCCAAGAAATTTTTTTGCGATGCTTTTATTTTAGGTCTTACAATGATGGAAAACATTTTTTATGAAATGTTCACTCATTAGATTCATCAGAAAGAAACACACAGAATAGCAGAAGAGGAGAAACAGTAAATCTGTGTAGGAGGGAAAACTGATGCGACTCTGATGAGCAAGACTGAAAAATTGCTGAGAAAGTCAATTGCATCATTTCTTCCCACTCTAGAGTTGTTGATCATTTGGAGAACTAATTCAAACACTCTTTTGTCCTCTATTTTCTCTCAACTGTCACATCACTAGGACAGTTATGGACAGCTTTAATCTCCATAAAAGGCCAGGTCATCTCAGATTTCACTAAAACATAGCGCTTTTTAAAAGCAAATGAAACTTAATTTTCTTCAAATGGTGCAAACAAACCCAATCTGTGAAGAACAAATTAATTCTGTTGCAGAGTGGCCTACAAGAGTCCACGCTGCCTGCCTGGTGAGAACCATTAGCACGTTTACTTGTGCACGTGTTGTGAAGAAATGGTAACAGCCAAATCTTCTCTGCTAACTGATAAGACATGCAGAGACAAATCACCTAGAAAATCTGCTAATTACAAAAGCTAATCTGCTAACGTTCATTCACACACTGGGGTTTTATTTTTAGGTTATTATGATGGACTGTGTTTATACCTCATGCAACATGTTACACACACATATTTTGAATTGCATTGAATATTAAATGTCAATTATTTTCACTGTATTTATATTTATTGTACAAGAAATATTGTCAAAAATGCAGAAAAATCCTTCCTTTTAAAGGAGAAATCATTGTTTCAGATTGAACCTAAGGTATTTTCATACAGCTTGGGATTTTGCACACTTCATTACATTAAAATACTAAAACAAAGGATAGCATAACTGTGAATAATTGCATATAAACTAGGTATGTGCTGTTAAAGATTTTGTTTACAACCTGAAAAGTCCTGCATTTATTTGTCTACACCCGTAAAGCCTTCAAGGTTTGTCTGTATCCACTTTGCAGATTAAGAGACTGAAATTATCAGCCAGTCTTGTTGGCAGAATAGCTCATACTCAGTCAGAGTGGATTAAGATTGTGTGTGAATATCAAATTTCAAGTCTAGCCTCAGATTTAGGAAGAAGGTTCTTGGGCAATTAAATGACATGATTTCATTTAACCATAACAGTTCTTAGTTCTTCTGCAGCCTCTAACAAGCTTTGTGCAGGGATTGTTTCGTGTTTGGTAGCTGTGCAACGTCACATCGATCCACATTGACAATATTGATTACATCAATGGAAAAAATAAAATAAAATCAATCCTAATTTTCATTTTTAACATAACATTTATTTTGAAATTCATAAAGCGTGAGACTATAGTGGACAGATGATCTATTATAATTCTTAGAGGAATGCTAATTTTGAGTTAAAATGCCTATGAGAGCTTAGAAATAAAATATTCAAACCACATTTAAGCCCTTTTTGGTGAGCTGATATAAAACATGTATTCCACGTCTCAATGGTTTATTAGCAAATAAATTGGACAAATCAATTGCAGAATAACACACTTTTTTGTGTTGGTCTGTCCCTTAAAAAAGCATTTTAAACATGCTCAAAAGTCTTTCAGAATGTTAAGCAATTAAGGTGAAACGTTTGAAGGGTTTTATGGAACACAGCCGACAGTTGCTAATTCTGAACCCTTGAGCAACGCTTTTCACTACATAAAAATGAAACGCGATGTAATTATCCATCTCCATTGTGTCACTTAGTCTGTCTTCAATCCACTTCTGTAAATCAGCACTCTGTCAATATTCTAAGCTGCCGTGATGTATTCTTAATCTTTCATTGAGTCGTTCCCCCTACAGATCTATTAACCCAATTTTAAAAAAAGCAGCTAACTGGTCCTGTTCAAACACGGAAGCCAACTTGGACACACTTGTTGGTTCCTGTTCGCCTTTAGTTTACAGAGCAGGGAAGCCACTGGCCTCTGCTTACTCACAGCTGTTGCTTTTTATCCAGCTTCACAAAGCCCTGCAATTATTCTTGAACTTTATTCTAGAGGTGCGGCGCTTTGTTCTGATGACCTTGATTTAGTGATGTACATCTAAACAGGGCTTACACACAGACACACACACACACGTGCAAACAAATGGCAGAGGCTTTAAGAGGTTAGATGAGTGCAGTGTTATGCAGCATGATGTCCTCAGACAACACAAAGCCTCAGGCAGAAACCAGCAGTGTGGCATTTCTGCTTGTTTTACGCCTTTGTTACAATTTGATTTGGAGAAATGATGCAAAACATTTTGCCCGGAGCAGAACTACCATGAACGACATGAGGTATATCATTGACGTTACCTGTATCTGTGTGATTAATGGTCTGGACGGTTCTCTGAGCCAAATCTATAATTCGGTCCACTTTAAAAGATTTCAGGTCCTCTTCGTCCAAAGCAATGTCTCCCAGAAAGGCAGCTAAAAGAGACAAACAGAAAGGGCATTATTTCAGCATCACTTTGTACTGTAGCCTTTCCCGCTGCAGAGACTGAACAGGCAGCATGAAATCACGGTGGAAGCACGTGTGAAAGTATATGCTTTTCTTTATTCGACTCTTCTCGGTTTACCCTCTCCTTGCAGGGAATTAAAAATACGGCTGCGGGAGAGTTTGGGTTTGAGGGCAGTCGTGTCTCAATTCAGTTACAGGAGGAAAAGAGCAACAGTTTATCCACTATGCGAATCATGTGGAGTGCTGTAAATTATTATTGTTAATCAGAATTATTAGATACAGAGAGACTTCTTAAAAATAAAAATATATAAAAGATAAAACCAAAAGCAGTTATTAAGAGCCTATCTAATTCACAGCAGGGGGGAAAAAAGCCCTTAGAGAAAAGGATGAAAAAGGTAGTAACATCCTTGGGTGTAAAAACGTCTTAATGGTAACTACTACATCACTTTTTTTGCAAACATTCTGGCTTACACTTCTTTACAAAAACAATTTAAAAAATCACACTTGCGAGTTTTAGAGCATAGAAATGTTTTTTTTTAAGGTAATGTCACAGGATTTCTATTAGGCTAAAATCCAGACTTTGACTCAGCCACTACAAAATGATCATTTTTTTTTTTTTTTTTTTTTGGCTTCCTGTTAACAAGTCATTTAGTTATCACAATCCTTTGACCAATGGGCCTTCTTCACAGTGGCTGATTATTTCATTTCAGTTAGTTAAAAATCTCTTAAACAGCAGAAAAGTTTACCCCTTTCTAAGTATCTGTCTCCGATTTCATAATTACAATTAATTTTTTATGACTTCCTTTTCTCAACTTATATTAAGAGTTTTATTTTATGAATCTCTTAAAACAGAATCAATAGCAAAGATGACAACATTAGAAGGAAGTGAGCTCTGGTACTGAAAAAAAGCATTGAAATTATCAGATATTCCTGTTCAAATATTGGAGGGTGATAAGAGGGGAAGCAATGTGAATCATTGCATCTCCACTCTTTTGATGCAGTTTACAAACTACTGCCTGGACCGCCTCCTTCAATGTTCCTGAAGGGGAGCAGGATTTGTGGTCTCATAAATTGCAAGGCATCCATATAATAAAGTAGCAAAAGAGCACTAAACCATGATACTGCCACTACCATGTTTGACTGTAGGTATGATGTCCTTTTTCTAAAATGCTTTCATAGTTTTAACAGCAGGCACACCCTCTAAAAAGAGTACCTTTTGCAATATCAGTCCATGAACAGGATCGTTAAGTTGTTTTTTTTGGCAAATGTAAGAAAGGCCTTTGTGTTCTTGCTGGTCATAAGTCATAATGGCATAGGAACACTCTTAACATAATTCTTCCTATGGTTGAAATCTGACCTTAACTGAGGGAAGTAATTCCTCCAAGCTTCAGATGCCATTTGGGGTTCTTTTGTAAATGTTTAAATAACACATCATTGTGCTATTGGAGTAATTTTGGTCATCTGGTTTACTAGATTCTACAGATTTGGTTACAGATCAATTCTGGGTGCAGCTAGAGAAACGAAATAAATGATGGTTACTTAAGGTAAGTTCATGCATTAACAAAAGGAGGGTTAAATAAGAACATTTATCTAACAAAAGAATCTGTAAGCGATAAGACCTCTTTGACGTGACTGTAAGAAATAATGATGTACTGACGCTGCCTCCTTGAAGGAATATGGGGCACCTTGAACAAGAGCCAGCCTTTTAATTAGGGCAAAGAGATGGAAAATAACCAAACAGTCCTACTTTATGAGCAACGTGCGGTATTGGATTACTTACTAAATGCTCCTTTGCTAAAAGTCTTCTCCACAGAGACGGGGTGCTCCGGTTTATAGGCTTTTAACGCCAGTGTGTTTGCAGGATTTATGGCCCAGTTTGTATATAGGAGTTTGTGGAGGTTGGGGAGTTTCTCAAGAAATGTGGGAATGGTAGGAGGGGGGGTTAATTCATGTCTAAAAAGGAGATGACATCTAGAAGGAAAGAAATGAAAGGAGAGTCCCATCCTCTCTGCCCACTGCTGTGTTATGAATAGGAAAGGCAGATGTGCAGCAAAGTGGAAAATGACGGGCCTCTGCATGCCTGTTTGGTTGGTCAGTTTGGTGCTGAGCCAAACGACCAAGGAGAGCAATTAAAGAGGGGTCAATAATGTTCTCCTAGGATTTTTTTGTAAATCAAAATGTTGTCTTGAAACTTTCCCAACTGCTAAACACATATAGACACAATTTATTTTAACAGGATAGGGTTCAGGAGAGACACCAATATTCAGTTAACCACAAAGGAAAGTTTATGCATGTTTTCTAGTAGAGACAGTTAACTGACTCAGACTTCTCAGTGCTGATGTATTAAATAAATAAATTGATAATTTATTTTTCAGAATTCAGTATAACAAAACAACAGTGAGCCATTTTTGAGAATGCCCGTCAACTTGACTGATAAATGCTCTAGAATCTGGCCTTGTTTTTCTCCAAACTGTGACTTATTTTCTACACGTAGTCAAATGGGAGACAAAAAGAAAATTTTGACTCAAGTCTCTTTAGTCTGAAGAAGAGTGATTTAAACCGTCTGGAAAAGACTTCCAATCACCCTGGAAGCTATAGAAGATGCAGCGCAAAGGATAAGTGCAAAAGGATAAGAGGTTAATGAGAGCAATAAGAAAAGGTACAAGACAGGGCACGCATGGAGGACAGGTCTGAATTCCAGAAGGGATCCTCTAATTTGTGCTTTAAAAAAAACCGAGCCTGACTTAATCTTAGAGACAAAGCAGACAGCACGCAGCCGGCACTCATACTGAGAGCCATCTGCAAAATACACACTTACTGATATAGAGAAGCTACCAGATGTTGTTCCACACAGGATGGATGGAGTCACTACAGAGGAACATTTTCTTTCCTTTTATTTCAACATTTCACTCCCAGGAAAACAGGAGCAGTGCTGCTGCTTCCATTGCAGTAAGGAAGACTGAAATATTGCTCAACAGTATTTGATACAAAGATGAATAAAACAAACAGGAATTCTACCTTAAAGATTAAATGTTTTACCACACAGGTCGTACTTTCAAGACATATACGATTAACTATTTCATCGAAGGTGCACTTACGAGTCTTTGCCATCTGTTTTCAAAACAAGTACCTTCTTTCTCCTTTTAGGAGGGAAAACAACAAGAGTAGTCACACTGGATTAAAAGCCATAGATTTCCAATCAGATTTAGGCCTAAACTTTGACACAAATTAGTCTTTATCTAAACCACTGCATTATAGCTCAGACTGAATATTAAGGGTCCTTTGTCCTGCTCGATGGTACCTTAAAGTCTGTAAAAGATTTTCTTAGGAATCAACATTGTTTAGCTCCATCCATCTTCCCATTACCGTCCCACAGCATGCTGCTGCCACCACCGTTTGCAACTGTGGAACCAATGTGTTAATTTTTCTTGCTGGGTAAAAGAATGTTTTCAGCATGTTTGCCATGCACTCTACATTACCCAGGTCAGTCTAGCTTATTTTCTAAAACTGGATGATGCATAACAGGACAATAGTGCAAGGTTGTACTGTAGTAGTCTCAATGACAGGTTGGCATCAAAGACCAAAAACGATAACAAGTAAAATAAGAAAATATGCAAGAGATCATAAACCTCAAATTACATATTTACTACAGTCATGCTAACATGTTGCCAGTAGCCAAATCTTAAGATTTTATCAAAGATAAATGGAAGTGAAGGTTCCTGTATCTGTGATGGACTGGTGGCATGTCCACGGTGTAGCCTGCCTCTCGCCCGTAGGCAGCTGGAGATGGGCACCAGCACCCCTCGCAACCCCGCTTGGGATAAGCGTGATGGAAAATGGATGGATGGATGGTTCCTGTGGGTTATTTAACATTGAGCAGTGTGTCTAAATGGTATCACACAGACGCCTCTAGAACTGGCTTGTTTCAAACTGAAAGTGAGATTTCTCAGGGCTTTCGTTTCCAAAATGTCTTCAGCTGAATTCTTTCCAGCTCCTCTAAACTGACCTTAAGACTTCTGACTTCTTCGTTGAGTAATGCTCTGCCTCTCCTTCACCATCATGTGTTCCTTTGTACTACTTCATCACATAAAAACCCCAATAAAATACTTTAAGAATGATGTTTGGAAACAAAATGAGAAATAAATAGCAGGGGTTGCATAGTGCGAAGCTGTGCCCAAACAACAAAGCACACGCTTTCTCGCACCTTCTCCTTGGCACTGTGGTTTGACTCTACTAACTTTATGGAGACTGACCTGATAATTCAGAACATTGTTTTTCTTAGGCAACCTCAGCTGAAAGTGTGCTAATGCACATCCCAGCTGGCACTGAGACCTATTTCTCCTGGGTGCAGCAGTCGTCTTAGAGACGGTGTTGCAGGTTTATGGGTAAAAAAAAAAAACTTACAGGGATTTGGAATTAATCCCCTTGTTCCCTGGTTTTGATTATCCACAGACACACTGTTTTACGGATCTTTTTGTTCTCCATGCAGGGCTGGGATTGAGGCCAGGCAGTGGAGAAATGCGATAAACTAGATACAGGGGCTCTGTAATAATGTGAAGCGCAAACACAATGACACTGCTGTGTCGCACTGTAGATTATAGCCAAGCTAATGTGGCAGATGGCAAGTGATCACCGGAGAGTGCAGGGCTAGATCTCTTTCCAAACGCCATTCATCACCTAGATGTCACCAGCTGCAGATATAAAAATAATAATCATATGCATACACTGTAATTATAAAACAGCAGAATGATTCAAGCTCACTTTTAGAGAGAGAAATGTTGATAATGCACAACTAAAGTCAGCCAGTGTTTTTATTTATTTTATTTTTGTTCATCTAAACCACCATAATCCCGCTCATCTCTGTCTGTGCCACTGTCAACCACCACAACCAGCAGGATTAGCCATGAGAACTCAATCATATTAATCCCATTCATTTGTGTAATGCCCTTGACCTCTGCGGTGTCAGATA